TTGGGAGTAAAATCGATATTAAGAGCATAAAATCATAATTTTAGTCTCTGTGTCTTTTCAGAGGGGGATCGGCCTGTTGCCTGTGTTACAATGAGGAATTTGGTGAATCATGTCAACTTAAACATTAGTATAAGTTTCACAAATAACAAAATACTCAGATTAGCACCAAGCTATCACAAGTTTTAGGACTTGATTGTGTAAGAAACTGAGTCTATTCTGAAAAAAGAACCACACAGACTTGGAGGAAAATATCTCTCCCATCCAAGAGGCCTCCCCAGCCCCAAGCCCCCAGCAGGGGGTCCCCAGCATTTAACATCTTTGGGTACCAATGTAACTACCACCAGTCAGAGATAGAATCAAAGAAACCCCCTGAACGTGAGGCAGAACGCCACTCAAGCCGAGAAACAATTTTTTATTGTTATTATCTCTGAGGCGGCGGACATGACAGCACCTGAAAGGTCAGAGGTCATTTGCTCCCTGACTGATGTGGACCAGAGGCAAACAGACCGTCACAAGCTGCTTAATAAAAAATGAGTCACAAAGGCCATTCATTAGAAATCAGTTACGCAAGATGTTACCAGAAAGCTAAAAAAAAACCTGCACCATGTGAAAATGATGAGGAGCTGACTGCTGGCCAGAGAACTACAGTGAGAAGAAAAACGGTTTCAACAGTTAAAGCAACTGAATAAAAACAAAACAATCACAAGTGAGGTGGTTGATCGTGTTCAGAACGTGACCGTCAGTGACCTTCAGCACCATCGAGCACCTCATCATTATCATAAGCTGCCGTGAATTCACTGAGGCAGGAAAATAGAGTCATTGCTTTGTTACCCACAGAGAGGTACTGAGATACTGCTGCACACGCTGGAGCCAATTATCAGCAGCTATGCTTTTATTTCCCTCTGTCCAGTCCCTGCTCTGAAGTGGAACAGCTTTATGCTTATGAGTGTTTCTATTATCGTTTCTTCTTTGAGCTGAGCAGAGGAGTTTAATCATCAGAGCTCATGACAGTGATGTAATGGTGGTCAAATTGATAAAGTGACAAATTTGGCTTTTTTATTCTACAGAAACCGGCATCCCAACTTGCTTTAAACAACGAGTAGTTATTGATTGATCCCTTCATACTTTTGCTTTTCAGAAATTAATTAAAAGTAGGTTGTTGCAATTTTGTAAAAACAAAAGTTCAGAAAAGTAGAGAGAAACATTCAGTTACAGTTCGGTGCTGTAGACTGTAAATAAAGAATCTCAACTTAATCCCACTATCCAGAAATGAAGCCAGAACATCCCGAATACAAATGCTGCCATCTTGTGCCGATGTCATCATTTAGAGCCAGAGTCTGTGCAGCAGTAATCGTGAATGCTCGACCTATTGTGTCAGCATATGAATAAATGGTCAAATTCGACTTTATGATTCCCAGAAAAATATTTGGGCTGATTTCCCCACCAAAAATAGCAAGCAGCTATGAACAACAACTTTTTTAGTTTACATTTTATTGGATTTAAAAAAAAATCCCCTGATAATAATCATTGCTTACAGCGGCCCGGTCACACATCGATTTCCTATGAGTCACGAAGGAATCCGCATTTGAATTGGAGTTTCTGCTCCAACACAGGAGGCCCAGTGTGCTGCTGTAAGCCGCTCAACCAAGCGTCATAATAACTTAATAATCATAATTACATTCCATTGTTTACACGGAGGGCTGTAGATTAGATGGCTCCCTGTAGGTTAAACACAGTTTTTATAAACAGGCGTTTCAGTTAATGGCTCCCTGGAAAGAGTCTCACGTTATAATCAGATGAACGTACAGCACACAACTCACTGAAACACATGCAGCTGCTAGGCATGTGCTAATTTTAGTTTTTAATTACATTTACCACCTCTTGAAACCGTCTCAGGGTTGTGATTAAGGACGATGCTGCTTGTCCTAATGGGAGCGGGCCCAGGAAAAAATTACTTCGGGATATTATTCGACGACGCTTCACAGCTTGGCGTGCTGCAGATCAGAAACACCTCGACTACCACCCCCTCTAACCCTCCTTTGTGACTTTTTTCAGCGAGCGTGTAGCAATCATGTGTGTCAGCATGTGTTCATACTGTATGCATGAACGTACACTATGTCTGCATGAACGAGTGTTCGAGCCCTCACTGTATATGTGCATCCAAATCTCTGCAAGGGGCCAAATTTACAAGTCTTGAAGCTGCCAATTTCCTTTTCATGTCAGTTTTCTACAGGATTAACAGCGTCACAGTTTTCACAGCCTCCAATTAATATAGAGTCTATTCACTGAGGCTCAGGTTTATAAATATGCTCAGCCTGATGCAAACATGACGGAAAATACTGAGATGTGAGTATTGACCTGTTATTGACCTGTGGCTTTGGAAGAGAAGGAGGGAAGGAAACAGACAGTTTGTGAAGGGAGAAAGAAGAATTCAACGTCTGTCAATGGTGTTGATGAGCAAGCAGCATCTATTCATCACGGCTACAGTGGGCAGAGAGAAACGCAGCGTGAAACATACAACTAAGAATGTAACTTTTATCTCATGATACATTTAGTTCTTAGTTAACTGAAACACATATTTAAAATGTGGCAGCTGTTAAACCCACACAAACCCAAGATTTGATTCACGCTGTGAATGGCTCACTGTACTGACATGAACTATAATTTGGCCTAATTGACCCAAACAGATCGGTGTCAGCAGCCATTAAAAGTCTCATACCGCCACAAGAGAAGCAGGATACTGTAAGTGTGGATGATGTTATTGATTGATTTTCATACGACTCTAACTGCTGATCCCCTGACACACACACATCAACACACACTTCACCTGTTTCCAGTCAGAAATACGAGACAGCAACAGTCTAAATTAAATTCACATGATGAAACACACACTCACCCTCTGCAGCGCTCTGAGGTAGATGGTGAATCCCGGTCATCTCTTCACTGAAGCAGGTCTGAGGCTCCGGCTGATCCTCCAGTAGCTTCATCAACTCACAGGACAGTTATACTAGCTCCTGCTGAAGTTCAAGAGTTCATACATTTAGGTCTCAACTTAACTAAAGTGAACAATTAGTTCCCACGTAACACTATTAATCTTCCAATGAACATTATTAAGCTTCTAAAGAACATTATTAAGCTTTAAAGAACATTATTAAGCTTTAAAGAACATTATCAATCTTCTAATGAACATTAAGCTTCTAAAGAACATTATTAATCTTCTAATGAACATTATTAAGCTACAAGTGAACATCATTTAGCTTCCAATGAACTTGATTTAACCTCCAGCTAACATCATTTAGCCTCCAGCTAACATCAATTAGCCTCTAGTGAAGTTAATTTAGCCTCCAGCTAACATCATTTAGCCTCCAGCTAACATTATTTAGCCTCTGGTGAAGTCAATTTAGCCTCCAGCTAACATCATTTAGCCTCCAGCTAACATCATTTAGCCTCCAGCTAACATCAATTAGCCTCTAATGAAGTTAATTTAGCCTCCAGCTAACATTATTTAGCCTCCAGTTAGCTCAATGTTATGTTATCAGCTTTCTAACTTAATTTAGCCCCTGAAAACATATCAAGCTTCCAGTGAAACGAGTTTAACTAAACGTTGTTTACCTTCAGCTTTTCCTGTTTCCACTCGGCGGCCATGTTGATTGAGACGGACATCATGACGTCACCTCTGCCTCTGGATGACCTTTGACCTTTAAAAAGTCTAACCTAAAGCAGTGCAGATAAAACTGACTCAGGGTCAGTGGAGGATGTATGAGCTTCTTTTATGGAACAACCAGGAGAACGTCCCTGATTCATTTTGTTGTATTTGTACAATAGAAGTTTTATTCTATTCTCTATACGGTTGAAATGTCTGCATCAGCGTACTCTGCTGGTGAATCACCTGAGAAAAGCTGTGACACCTGATCCTCCATGTTGTGATGTAAAACCAGCTCTGTGGGCACATTGAGGAGGAACGAGCTGAGATCTGTGGCTCCTCCGACGCTCTAACTCAACATATGAGATTTTCTGCAGCCTCAGGAAAACGTTCGTGTGACTACAAACCTCCGTCAGTGCAGAACAACCACACAACTGCACCACGGGAGCAGTGTTTGACTCCGGAGGCTCCAGTGTTCTTCTAAAGGACAAGTTCAGTCCAGCGGGGACGACGTACACTGGGGTGGTGCTGTAGGTGCACTGACTTATCTATCCATCCATCCGTTTAATCTCCATGTCCGTCCTGCATCCATCTGCAAATCCACCCATGCATCCATTAACCCATCTGCCAGGGTGCATCACATCATCCATCCATCTCCACCTCCATCAGATAATCCATCCACGACAGCCTCCATGCACGGTCCGCAGGTTAACACCGTCAGCGTGAGTTTAGAAAACACAGCGGAGAACTTGGAGAACACAGACTCATCTCATTTAAAACCCAACCTGCAAACCACCAATCGTCCCAGGCCATTTTTAAATTAGTGAAAGTTAAAGACAGAGCAGATTAGCAGCAGTGAGGGCTCAGCAGATGAGTAATGGAGGGAAACGGGGATGTTTGCTGCTGAAACAGGCCGTCAGCAGCTATTTCAGACCCTCAGTTGTTTAAACAAAGAGCCCCTATTTTTGTCATGTGATCCATTTATAAAAGAAAACAATGGTGGAGGTCTGGAGCCAGAGTTTGGGAAAGTGAAAGGTTGAAAGCGCTCGTAAATGTCAAATCGTCCACCTGAAGAATGGCCTGGAGCGCTGGAGGCTAATATTACTCCAGCTGTTATTGTGCTGGATATATATATATATATATATTTGAATGTGTGATACGTTCATCTCTCGGGACAAAATAAAAATGTGGAGCTGCAGCAAAGGTCGTCCAACAACAACCTGCCGCAGTTTCCAAAATCTGAGGTCATACTTGGCAAAAACAATATTCACATCGTGTGGACATTCATACGTCTTTATCGAAGTTTTCACAGCATTTTGACGCGGTGGACATAATGTTGCCGTGCTTATTATTGATATTATCAGTTTATTTTTTGATTAAATGTATTTTTCTTTATTAAACACTTTCAAGCATGTTGTTTTTTTCCTGCAAAGTACAATTCTAATAAATGAAACCTTGAGACTAAGGTCGACAGTCAGATTATTTGTGTTCATGTAAATAAAGACTGCAAACAGCTAGCCTGGGTCTGTTAGCAGGTAATAACCAACCTATCAGTGCCTTTAAAGTTAATATGTCAGTTGTTTAATTTGTGCAAAAGCAAAATTGTAAAACAGTAATTTGCCTTTTTCTGTCTCACACTGAAGCGAAACTCTTCATGCTTCCGTGTGACGTGACAGATGTGAGTGAACATTCCTGTCAGGAGACGTCGTCTGAGCAGGTCTGAGATAATAAAGATGAGGTTTCTGTCCTTTTAAGGTAAAACGCTGCTGCGTTATAAGTGAAATGGGGAAAAAGAAAATCCTTCATTCTTGTTTTTATGCAGAGCTTTATTGACTCTGAGGTTTTTCCTCGTCTCTCTGCCTCCGGACGCAAGCTGACAAAAACTTTGTCTTCAACTCAGGTTAGTGAAGTTAATGCATTTCTTCGGCACTGACCAAGCAGATCCAACATGCCTGTTAGCAGGTCAGTCAGTGGAGGAGTGTCACGTGGACACACTCCCCTCACGCATGTCCGTCAGCGCAGCCCTGCATCGACACCGTCCTGGCAGGAGTGAAGCCGCTGTACCGTCCGTCCGGGCTCGGGTACGACTCCCGGACTCTCCGCACGCAGCAGCTGGGGATGGCAGGGTGGGCGTCGGGAGGCGGGACCCCAAACCTCCAGCTGATGTACTGTCTGTACGCACAGTGACGCAGGGCCGAGGTGAGGCCTCCATCAGCAGGTGGAGACAGAGGGTCCCTGTACATGAGGACAGCCTCCAACAGGGGGCGATGGAGCACCAGCTGCTTGAACAGAGGGGAGGAGGTGATGCAGGCGCCGTCGCTCCGCCTGCAGCACAGCTCCTCCTGCGGGAGAGAGGAGGGAGTGCAGCAGTTACACCGACACCAGGCTGGACGAGGGGCTTTGGGCTTTGGGTCGGCTTCCTGGTCGGGGGGAGGACGAGCGTCGTGATCCATGTGGACACCCGGCTGTAACAGACAGAGGACAGCTCTCAGGTGTCCTGTGTCCTCCTGCTGGGACAAGAGGACATCATTCAAGCCTTGAAGATGCACTTAAAAATGAAAAGTTTAGATTAATCTGAAGCTCCTGCAGCAGTTTTACCTGACGTGGCAGAACAGACACCGGTTTGACGTCTCGTAAACTTTTCTTCAGTGATCTCTTCACCAGTCGAATGTTGTTCTCGTCCACGTACGAGACACAGAGGACGCACTGCAACAGAGTTGAGCACAAACTGTCTCGTCACCCCGCACACAACTACAGGACAGGAACGACACTCACATCATCGCTCAACCCTTCATCACCTTCCGTTGGTCTCGGACCGACTCCACTTTCCTCTTGGAGTAGATTTGTCCAACTTCTGCAGAGTAACAGCTGGTTCCAATCAGCCAGTCCAGAAACAAGGTGGTCTGGAGAAGAAGACGCAGGAAACGCCATCAAAGTGGTTTCCTCTTGAATTATGATTGTTCATCTAAGTATATATTCATGTATCACAGCTTTACTCTCTCCGACTGAGTTTATCTGGTCTGTAGTGAAATTCTCCGGATAAAACACTGACTGCTGCTGCTGCTGAGTACAAACGGAGGACGACAGCATGAATGGACACTTGTGTGAGCAGCCAACGCGGGGAGGTCACTCACCAGAGCGTAGTACGACAGCGTTGATCCGATGTAGATGATGAGCTGAATGAAGCTGAATCTTCCCGCCTGGAAAAGTTCACATCGAACTGTCGCTCGTTTGTTTAGAAAACAAGCGACAGTTCGAGAAATCAAAGGTCATTTAAAACCACAGCAACACAAAATACACAAAGTAGACCAAAGACACGACACGATGTCATTACACTTATTCTGATATTTTGCTAAAATCGTTTTTTTGTAAATTTTTATATTTAAAAAAAATAGTATCTATTGGTCAAAATTCAATATCCATCAACATTTTTCTGTCATTTTATCTGATCCCACCTGTCCGAACACCATGACATCAAACCTGATGCCGAAAGCTTTGTAGAGCGTCCTCTCCTCCGCTCCGTTCACCGTGTTGTACTTTGCGAATCTGATCCGAACGACAGATACGAGAAACAATAACAACATGACGCATGAATAATGAGCTGATATGTTTGATGAGTAAAGTTTATATATGATGGATCACAGACTGTTTTTATTTGGAAAAGAAGTTATTTGAATAACACTTTTCAACAAAGAGGGAATTTAATGAGCTTAAATGATTAAAATAAACAACTAAAGGTGAATGTGACCAGATAAATGATTATTTTTGGCGTCTTTGGTTCAACAATTCTTCGAATTGATAAAAAAAAAGTGTGAGAAATAAAAACGTTCTGAACATTTGACCTTTGACCTCCGTGGCCCCTGCTGACCTGAAGTTGAGGCCGGGGTACAGCGTCTTGTTGCTCTCTTTCTCATCCAGGCGTCTGAAGGAGTATTTCGGCAGGCAGCGCCTCGTCAGCCAGTCCAGGTTACAGTCCCACTTGATCAGCATGCCGATGACGCCACCCTGTGGTCAACAGAGGACATGGATCAACGTGAAGGTGGTAAAAACACTCAGTTCCACATTAAATGTTTGCACTCGAGTGTTTGTCGGTGGTTTTGTTAGATTCAATCTTTTCTCTTGGTGTTGAACTGACAATGCTGCGTCTCCACTTTCCTCCACACAAACTGAAGAAAGTTTGTTGTGGAGAAACTTCCTTCTTTTGGTTTTTCGAGTGTGATTCATTTCCACTTTTCTCGATCTGTTGCTGAGGAAGACGACTCAAAACAAGAGTCATCGGGAGGAAACAAACCCCCAGAGTTTCCTGAAGTCGTTTCATTTCCCTCAGCGATAGAGAAAACCATAATTTCAGCTTGGCTGAATTTGATAGAGCTATAAAACATGAATGAGTGGCCCTCACCTCTATGGCCATGTCAGAGAACCTTTCCCCCGCCTCTCGAACCATGTCGCCCAACCTGAAGATGGGACACAGCGAGTCGTTTTCTCTCTGGCAGCTCCTCAGGTAGGCGTCGTTCATCTGCGGGAGGATGTTCCTCCTGAAGACACAGTCCAGAGGTTCTCTCACCATCAGCTATTGTTATAGAATTTAACTGTTTTTAACGGACACAACAGTTAAATACCACAGAAAGAAAATTCACAGAACTGACTTTCCCTGCTGTCATTTATCTTTTAATTATTCTACTAAATCAATGTTAAAAAAAACTTCAAAAACAGACAGACTGTTCTTAAATCTCTAAAAGAAGACGACAGTAAAAGATAAGAAGACGTGAAAGAGGAAGAGACAGAAAAGTGCCTGGAACACAATCATCAACGGTCTCACCGGATGAAGTTGAACGCAGGGAATCTGATGTTGTTCTTGACGAGGACGGTAAAGTTCTCAGCTGCTGCCAGAAGAGCAGGTCTGCAGCACAGATAAAAAAAATAACACAGCAATTAGAATAATTAGAATTAGAACGGCCAGCCCACTTATGAAACCACGCCAATTAAATTCAATACAGTCTAATTCACTAGATCACAGTTTGAGACGTCCGCAGGACAATAAAACACCTTTACTGTGACTTACCTCGGAGGAGTGTTCTTCGTTTCTATCGGGCACCAGGCCGACACCTCGCAGGTTTTCTTCAACACGTCAAACTTCACACACGATCCCGTCAGAATCCCTGCAGACGATGAAACACATGAAGCTCCCGGTGACGTCTCAGGTTCATCATCAGGAGAGAGAGAGAGAGCTGACGCTAAAGCTGCAGCACATCAGGGACGAATTCCTCTGCTTCATGTGAAATAACCAGTTTCTTCACTTTGTCACTGCTGACAAATATTTTACTCTTTTTAATACTTAACTTGCTGAAACGCCACCAAGACCCTACAAACTACTTTGGGTTCTCTGGATCATTAAATGTTCATGACAAAAACAGGTTTCAATACAATAAGTTTAACAACGACAACACAGCAGATGTAAGTAGTAAAGATATCAAACGTATTCTTCAAAGATCAACAACGTGCTTTTAAATCCACGTCACTGAATCATCGTGTGTTTGCTGAGAGCCCCAAAACTTCCTCTTCCACGAATCATTCCCTGAGAAAGACGTGTTATCGTCGACAAACCGACGGAGGTGAAGACGTGGAGGTCGGAGGAGAAGAGACGGTACCGTGGCTCTGTTTGTCCCAGGCTCCTCTCTCACAGTCTCTGTCAGTCTTACACGTCCGGCCGTTACTGGGAACCTGGAACAGAAACACTGCTGCAAAATAACAAACGTTTGACAACTTCTCACCTGAGCCGTTATTAAAGGCGGATGATTTAAAATGAAAAGAAAAGTAAATGATAATGATTATAAATAATAAAAACAAAGCACCTCTGGACATTTCCCCTGCTTCTGATTCTTTGTCACGATAACATTCGTCACCACGAAGAAAGAGTTTTTGCCCTAAAAGGAGGAGAAGAGATATTTAAGTTGTTTTCTTGAGAAACCACCTTCACGGCTCTGAGGACCCAGCTCCGACCTGAGAGGCGCCGCTGTAGTCCACCACGTCCCAGACCACGTCCCCGACCCCGGGCAGGAGCAGCTGAGCCACACCCTTCACCTTGGTGGTGACCGAGCTCACGACCGGGTCAAACTCCTGGTACTTCCTGTTCCACAGCATCATGACGCTGAGGATGACAAACACAATCAAATGCTGAATGAAGACACGACCAAAACAGACATGCACAGTTTCTGTCTCGTCTTTGCACAGTTTCTGTCTCGTCTTTGCACAGTTTCTGTCTCGTCTTTGCAGTTTCTGTCTCGTCTCTGCACAGTTTCTGTCTCGTCTGCACAGTTTCTGTCTCGTCTCTGCACAGTTTCTGTCTCATCTGCACAGTTTCTGTCTCGTCT